TACGTCCAAACATGTTACCACTCTTTTCTAACAAATTCATCATATTCAAGGAAATCTTTGCTAAAAATTTAGAAATTTTAAATAACCTAATGGAACCTTGTAAATATGGAATTGAATTAAGCGCTTGGCAAAGAACAATTTTATATTTTCTTTATTATTCAAAAGGAAATGAACATATGTATGTCAAGAAATTATGTTTGCTGTAGGCAAATTATCATTAAGCCTGGTAATTTTTCAATAAAATTGTATTCAAACATATTATTAAATTTCCACTTTGGTCTTCATATCAATATGTTAACTACTTGCTGAACATGCAGATAATATTCAAAAGCTGATCCCACCTTTGAAATTTATAGAGTTCTATATTCGCTCTTTTCTGATTTGTCTTTTTTTAATAGAGTCTGATTACACCTTTCTCAAGTCACCTTACATTCAAACAAGAGAAATCTTTGTATGACAATATGTTATCGTACGTTAATGGTATGTTTTTTTCAAAATTTTTCAATTTTGTTTAAAGGTTTAAATTGTAGATATGTTAAATTTGTATTGTTAAGCAATTAAGTATCCATATAGAGGAATTTAGAATTATAATATACAATTCCATATCTTAACCTGTCATATTCCATAACTTAACCTGTCATCACCTTCAATGTACATGTACGAGTATATTGGTTTTAAATCTGCATTGTATTTTGTTTTTTTAAGTTCTAAGGGAATATTAAAATCAATGAAACCCTCTTGTCTTCCTGATGGATCGTGCTAAAAACTTATCGTTAATTGCCAAGTACTTTTAAAGTCTTAAAGACACATAACACCTTTTTATGAAAAGCAAACAAAAGTATTTTTTTAAAAATGGCTAGGAGTTCAATTTTTAAAAATCTATGTTAGATCAAGTAACCCATGATTAGTTGTGAAATGACTTTTTTTTGGAATTTCCATCATTTAGGTTTTTAAATGTATGTTTAAAAAAGTTGTCGAAAATAAAGGTATGAATTATCATCAGACACATTTAAAAAAAAAATTAAAAAAAAATTAAAAATGAAAAATGAAAAACATAACACATTTAAAAAAAAAATTAAAAAAAAAAATTAAAAATGAAAAATGAAAAACATACCGTTAAAAGGCCCATTTGCTATCTGTTGCATGAAGTGAAAATTTATTATGTAATCTCAGTTTTATATTTCTTCGTGACCTCATATTGTTTAAGTAGGACAAAAACTTTAATGACATGCTAGACTATTGAACTTTTGTCTTCCTTAATGACAGTGTCGAATGTAATTATTCCGACATCTGTAAAATAAAGTATTTAGTGTCAGAAAGCAACTATTTTATCATAATTGATACGAAATAATTAGATTGCATGTTTGGTCGTTCTTATATAGGTCAGGATTTTTTTTCTTTTGTTCTTATGTGACAATACAATTGGAGTTTTCTCTTAACTTGTTTAGAACATCTGTCTCCGCTGTTTTGAATCTTTCCAAATTTCCGACAAATCATGTATATGCCTCTTCTCAGACTTGGTATTGTTTTAGACACAAAATTTCTGATTTGTAAATTTGTGCAAAAATTCAAATGTCTTTGTTGTTTGGTCTTAAACAAATCCTAAAAAAAAACAGCATATCTAAAGCTAGGTACACTTTATGCATAAAACGATCCTGTCCTTTGTCAATAACTACAAAATGTATCACCCTCTTTTCCATTCCATGTATCAAAATAAAGTAAAGACCGGGTGCTTTCATTTCTTTTAATAAAAATTCTTTTGAGAATCTGAGTATTGGAAAACAGGCTTTGAGTAAATGCAACGAACTTAAGTATTACAGAAAAACACATGCCTTTGACTACATTCAGCAAATAATTAAAATATAAGAATAGCCCTATATCGAAAAATTCAAAAATTTGTTTTATTCTTCAAAAAGAGATCTTTCATTTTGCAATTGCTAATTTTGGAAAAAGGGCTGTGCTCTTTATGAAATATTGAGAAACAGTTCAACTTTAGCCACTTTTTACAAAGACACTTATAGGATATTGAAAATGTAATTTTCGATCGTGTAAAGAAATCCGATTACACTGGTGTCGTGAATGGTACCTTAGATTCTAAGACCAAATCCGGTTACACTAGTTAGACCTGTTCTCCTCCAGTCATTTTCCCAACAGATCTAGACAAAGATCTATCTTTTTTCAACGCTGTATTCATTCAACAGCATGTTTGCATGCATAATAAAAAATAGTGTATAGCAATCATTTGTTAACTATGTACCATGCCTTGAAAGAAAAAAAAAAACAGTAAGTTTTGCTTGACCCTCTTTATTTTGTAGTGTTTTGAAGTCATTCCTCAGCCATTGGTCGAGGTAAGAAATCTTCAGGATCAGCTGTCAGGTCTTCTATGGAGTACTTTCGCGTAGGTATACAGTCAACCTCCCCCATATCAGATTCAGATTCTACTTTCAGGGGACCCTTTGGATCATCGTAGAAAATTTCTACGCCCTCCCGAATACCCAAACTCGGGTCTCTAGGGAAAAAGTTGAACGGGAGAAGGAAGAAACTGACGTCCCCGCCAACAGTTTGTTGGTTAGGTACCTCATCCGTATGTGGTGTATGATGGATACCTAAAGTTACCCAAGCAACCAGGTCCTGAAAACAAAAATAATAATAAAAAAACATATTTTTTTTTGCTAAGAAAGAAAACCGCTTAAAATAAAATGGTAATTAATAGTTGTAAAAGAAAAAAAAAATCTTAAAGCCTCTCTCTTCCTTGCTCCTTCACTTTCTTCCCTCCCGTAAATCTAAAGTTTTAGTATAGAAAGCATTATGATTTAAATACAATAGAAAATAGTCGATGTAAAGAGACCTCTCTCTCTCTCTGAATGAAGTATTAAGAGAAAATATTTGACAGTTGAAATGCAAAATAATAAAGTGAAAAGTATAGAAATATTCTTACCTCCTGCACGATTGATTCATCGCCTATAAAGTCTTCAAAATTGACCACACTGTCTTCTCCATCGTAAGTTGCATATTTAGAGCTACTGAATTGTTCCTTTTCTTTCCTTTTTGTGACCGCTAATTGATACCGCATCCACGGAGCGCCTGGCTCATTCCCCTTTCCTTCTTTGAAGAGACTTTTGGCTATTCCTCTTAAAAGAAGCCGATAAGCCCTAGGGTTTCCGAACTTATCTTTGTTCTTTTCATTGTAGAACACATGGTATTTAGGTTTGTTAAAATTAAACTTAAATACAGCTTCCCTCTCCGTGGTGTAATTGACTTTGACTGTTTTTGCTTGGAACCATCTCTCGGGTTTTGCCGAGAATTCGTTTGGAACACTTTCTTCTCGAATATCGTATGTGGAGTAGCTGTTTTTTGTTCCTCCAATATCGACATCAACCTTAAAATGAAACATGTGCTGATGAAGAAGCCCTGTAGATTGCCTGTTGATCTGAAACCCATATTTACAAGTGTTTTGAACGTACGAAGGCAAAGCAATCCCTGACGTCATTACCTTTGTTTCCATGACACCATTTTGATAAAATATGTAGTCAAAGATATAGTCGTAATTGACAAGAGTAAAAATCATTCGGAGAACAAGTGCGTCATTTGGAGCACCTTCGTAATAGCCAGATGGAAAGTCGTCTGATACATAATGTCTTTTTAGAGGGATGCCGGTATTGTGTTCATACAAACATATGGAATTCCTTCTTATTATTGGAACATCTGAAGATTCTGACATAAATGTGGTATCTGCAAAAGTTGCGTGGGATGGACAATCGACACCAGGAACTAAGGTTTGAACATCTGTTCCAATCAGAACCACGGTATCAAAGAAATTAGCAAATCTGCCTATAGGTTCACCAGAGGAATAGAATACCGTTATCTCGGACAGACCTAATTCATAAACAATCAATTCATTTTTGAATTTTATTTTGTACAACTGGGGACCATGAGTGGGAGACACTCCAAACTGAAAGTCCCAGTTAATGTAGTGAACCGACTGTCCTTTGATTGAGTAACGTTTACCGTCCGGTTCCACTTGAGCGGGAGGTCTTTGTGGAATCTTCGGAAAGACTGTGGCAGGACGTGGATCAGGAGGGAAACACACTTGGAGTTTCTTCACTGTTCCTTGTCGCCATGCATCTTTAAATGCTTGAAGCGAGTTAAACAGTTGACCGTTGTACCAAACATCTGCAGTTTGTGGTGTAGCTGTCCCATCAAACAAGACTAGAACAACAAAGTCAACAGGATTCAATAGACTTGGACGCCGACTTTGGAAAAAAGGAAACCAGATACCTCGATAATTTTGACCACGAACACCTGACGCTACGGCAGCGTAAGGGACTGCCGTTTCAATATCTAAACATCTATCCCCACAATTCAGTAATGTTGCCTCAAAACTCTCAAGCAAAATATCACCTACTAATCTCTCTGCTTCTTCTTTCAGAATTTTAATAGCAAGAGAGAATTCTGGGTTTGTGAAAGGTCTATAGTAAAATGGGATAAATCTAGGCCTTCCACAAAATCTAGGTCTTCGACCTAGCCTAACACAGTACTCGGCAACAACTGGATTTTTCTTACCACCAAAAAATACTGTGACCAATGCTTTTCGTGTAATTTTTTTATGTCGCCTGGACTTGATCTCCTTCTTTTTAGGAAGAATTAATTCCATCGAGAAGATGTAGTTTGAAGACAGGGTAGCGTCACTCGGCATGGTAAGATATAAACGACTTTGAGCAAACATAATTTTAAAAATTGCTTCGATTTCCTGACTTGTCAGATCATGAAATGGTGACGGGCATTTAGGTTCACGGAGATCTATGGCACAGTATGGCAGTTCGCCACATTTAGGACACTTGTCAGTGTTACTCCTTCCATTCCTGTAAACTGAAAGGAAACGTTAATCAGTCATAATGGATGTCATATTGATCTCAATGAAGCATTGAAAAAAAATATGTATACACAACTTTTTCCCGCAATTACGTCATAGTTACAGAGCGTAGCCATCACACGTCACGTGATGCATCCGCCATTACAACCGTGAAACCCGTGAGCCGTGAAAGATGTACAAAGATGGAGGGGGCGAATCGTGTGCTGTATTTAACTGTTTTAACAACAGAAAAAAAATTTATTTGTGGAAGCAGTCTATCTGCAAAGTTCACGGTGACATTCTCCACAAAGATTGTCCGTGCATTGTTCCATACAGCCTTCACAAGATGCCAAAAGCGGAGCCCGAAAAACTTCAATGGCAACGAGCACTACATCGCAATGATTTGCCGAAGAATGTGTTTGTGTGTTCAACACATTTTATAGATGGGCGACCAACTGCAAGAAATCCCATACCCAGTCTGAATTTAGGTTTGTTTATGACTAAAAAACTCTGCATACAATGTTTAAAAATAGATTTGACGTTAGTGTAAAGTGAAAGTAGAAAGATGCTTGCAACGACGCATTCACAAACAAAGGATGATATTAATTTATTGTGCCTAACCACCTTCTGAAATAATTTGTCAATGTAAGAACAAAATATAATCTATAGTATATAGTTTAAATGCGTTATATTTTCTCTGGTTAAAATATGCACACACTCTGTAAAATTTTCAAGAGAACTGTGGGTTTCAAGAAAAAAATGCTTACTTACTATATAGCTTGCACAGTTTATGTTTATGCACAAAATACTTAGAGTGGTAAGGCATTTGTTTGATACAACCATACCCCCTTTATTCATCTGATCAGTGATCTACAAGTTAATTGCTGTTAGATTTTGTCTATTTCATGTGGAAAATTATGTGAAAAATCCACCAAAACACAAATAAAAGTATAAACAATTTATTTAAAAAATTCTTGCTGGGAGGAGGGATACATCAAAGATGAAGTTTTGTAATAAGTATCAATAATTTATATAAATTTTTACAGGTTATGAAGCTCCCATAAAAGTTGGTCGTCGACTTTTGAAAAGGAAGTTTGTTGCAGAACAAAAGACGGATGGGTATGTTTGACTCCAAATAATGAAAGAGCAGAGATAAATATATATTTTGTAGTGCTGCCATTGAAAATAATTTCAGAAAATTAGATATTATTTTGATATTATTTTTAGAGATACCTTTAGATACTTTTAGATACTTTTTAGATCAGTCCCCCACCCCACTTCCAAATTTAAATAAGTTATTGTGAAAGTTACCCCATATAATATGTGGAGTGATACTCAATGAGTGTGGTCATAATGGTCATTTTCATGTGCTATCTTGTTTTGTTCATGTTTAAACTTTTATTGTAAAGGAAATTTCTGCTATCACTGTCTGAAAAGATGATTCGTACGATATGCGTATTGTTGAAACTCATGATCAGTACATTCAATATATTCCTGTATCGTTATACATTGTAACTCTATTATCTATTAATAGAACTTGAAATTTATGATTTTGCTTTTATGTTTGTCAATTCTTGTATTATACTGTAAATTGTTTTGCAAGACAGAAGTTATGAAACATCAAAAACTGGCTGCTACTGCTGCAGATGAAGTTGAAACCATCAACATTCAGACTGAACCAAACATGACATCTTCTTGCGTGCAGACGAGCATGACAGAAAGCAGAACTGCAGGCACACAGTGGACGGATCCCACACTGTGTGAACATGAATATGCAAGACCATGCCTTGCAGGATCTAGGAATTCAGGTACACAAACAAGAGTCATCAAGATGGAGGAAAAAGGTGTAAACTGCTGCACTCTACATGTACGTCTCAGTGCTGCTGACATAACAACTAACTCCTTAGCCTTGCTTTACACAGGACTGCCATTAAAGACTTTTAGAACACTTTTGCGTGTTATGGAAAGTTTGGACAACCCACTGACATTTACTATGCCCGTTTCAGATCAAGTCTTACTCGTTCTTATGAAATTAAGGCTTAATTTACTATTTGCAGATATTGCCAACAGATTTGGTATATCTGAGTCTCATGCATGCAATATTTTTAATCAAAGACTCTCTTTTATGGCTTCAAAACTAAAAAACTTAATAGTTTGGCTTCCACGTGAAACAATAAGAGCAACCATGCCAAAGTCTTTTCGTGAGAACTTTCCCAAAACTACCGTTATCATTGATTGTGCAGAAACTTTTATGCAACGAGCAAAAAACTTGAAGACCAGAGGAGAAACATATAGTCACTACAAGTCCAACAACACAGGGAAGTATTTGGTTGGTATTGCACCCCATGGTCAGATTATGTTTATATCTAAGGGCTTTGGAGGAAGGTCTAGTGATAAAGCAATTGTGGAAGAATCTGGGATTTTAAACTACCTTCTTCCTGGAGATGAAATCATGGCCGATCGAGGTTTTACCATTGATGACCTACTCTTTCCTCTGAAAGTGAAACTTAACATTCCAGCTTTTACAAAAGGTAAAGACCAACTTTCAGAAGAGGATGTTACAGAGACCAGAAGAATTGCCACAGTCCGGATTCATGTGGAACGGGCTATTAGACGATTAAAGGTGTTCCGCATATTGAGTCAGATAGTTCCAGTTACCTCGGTGAAGAAACTCAGTAAATACTTGATTGTTTGTGCTGCATTGGTTAACTTAAGATCTGACCTTATCAAAGATGATGATGAGTAAATAATGATTATGGTGATTATGGTGATATTATGAATTTCAGCTTTCACTACTAGGGGTGGGACGATACACTGATACGTACTATTATCCACTATATGGTTTAAATACATATGTTAAAATATTGGTTGGAAACATTTCACAAACAATTTTTTGCAAAAAAATTTTTTTGTAAACTCAACTTGGTTACAGACTTTTATTTATCAATATCAATGTACATGACTTTTTGAAAATGAATCTTTAATAAGTGTTCTTGTTAAACTTCAATACTATTTGTAATCAACTTGTGTATAGACATTTGGCAATATGTACAATTTATATTGTTTTTGTAAATTTCTAGTCAAAGAAATTAATATGAACATCAAATATTGATTTCAAAGCTTATGATTTGATTTAGAAAAATTTGTCCATTTAAAGTAAAAAAAAAAATGAAATTAAATATAGTTTTTTTTTACTTGGCTACATTTTCTAATTAATCATATTATCAAGATATGCCTCGTATCATGTAGCATGTATCAAGATATGTAACATTATTATGTTGTATCGCAAGATCTGTGTATTGTCCCACCCCTATACACTGCAATCAGTTTATACCTGTCAATTTTGTTATCTTTGCATCAGCAGGTTGCAATAGGATATTATTTTATAATAACATAATGTTTTCACATTATTATGATATTTGTCAATGTAATTTGCACCAATATTTGTTTAAAAGATACTGTGCTTGGGCATATCTTTTGTATTAAGGTAAAAACCATTCTGATTTCTTAAACATGTTAAATTATGGAGCATAACATGGGAGTGAGTCCAAAAGTTTTATGTCTGACAAGAAATCTAAATTCACTTAGTTTTCAATAAATAGTTTGCCAAGATTTTAATTTGTTCATTCAATTTTGATCACAGTACAAGTATTTTTTACACAGAAAAAAAAAAATCAAATTTCTTTTGTTCATTTAAAAAAAAAAAATTTGAAACTCCATTAATGTGAAGTTATGTACATTCATGCACACTCAAGTCTTTGAATGTAGGTCAACAAATACTGTTTAGGCTTCTTGACCTCCACACTTCTACTAACTATTTGAATTTACTTTTTTATCAGACAATGATTTTTTGATGTGGCACCTAACTTTTAAAAAAAATGTGTACATATTATATTAAGAAATAAATGATTACCTCAGAATGAAAAACATTTGATTTTTATGTTAGAAACAAGTTTTATTTGCATCAGTTTAAAAAATTTACATATTTTCTACTAATCTTCAATCTGCCAGATTCAAAGTCATCAACTACTCTGGGTAAAAGTTTGTTGAAGTAAAATAAACGTAACCTTGAAATTGATGATTGACAGAATTGTTGGTTATGTTGAACATCAATGATCTTGTATTCATTAGCTGTCCATATAACAAGTTTGCACAATTCTAGATGTGTAATATGCAAAGTCAATTGTATCTGAAGATAATATCCTCGTGAACTGCTCTGCTTTAGGGACAAAGAATCATTTTGCAATGATTTTACAACATCATATTTACCAGCTGTAAATAAACTGTCAAGGGTCTGGTCATTTTGTAGTATTGGGCATTTTACTTCTAAAAGACACTGTGTGCCATCATCATCAGTTATTATTCCGTCGGGGAAACACTGAGCCAGGGCTCTTCACCTGAAACGATGGTCCCTGCATCTTGTATTTGTATTCCATCCAAACGCAATTGTTGTTTTGCAAGATTTTCACCAATCTGTCCATGTTTTGTGAATTTATTGCCTTTAAAGGAAGGGTATAAATGCTCTCTAATGAAGTTATCACAATTTGTAGTGTCACGGATTGGAACCTTGTGAGCAGTGCTGCCTGTTATTCTTATTTTTCTACTGTTATGCCACAGTTCTGATTGACTTTGTGAAATAGTTGTTTGAGATAAGGACTTGATTTGAGATTCAGTAAGTTTTATATACTTGTTAAAAGATTGGCAACACTTTTTACACGTTAGTTCTGCAGAGTGTTCAGTATGAGGCTCAGATGAAGGTTTGAATTGCAGCGTATCAACTTTAGCTTGCACAGATTTATTCAAAAGAGAATTTTCAACTGAGAACAATTCCTGAAGTTCACTGTTTTGTACAAAATATTTAAAGGATTGATGGGATACAAACATGGGGAATATTGATTTTGTGTTTTGTGGTTTTTCAGCATTATTGTTAATGTCACTACTGCTGTATCTAGGTTTTTTAAAATCCATCTCCTCAAGAATACCTGGTTCCAGGTTTCTCGTCGAACCCTTGTTCCATTGCATTTGTTCATCCGTACATGATTTGCCTGTTAATCCTGACCTCACAGCATATTCAATTTTCCATAGAACAGCACCAACATGACTACACGTTTTACTGTTCCCTGCCATACATGAACAACCAGCACTATAAATCGTGCCAACCATGTCACAAATAATCCATGCATTATGAAACTCCGAGTTGACTTTTTGTGAGGGGCGTACTTCAGATTTTAAAACAACTGTTGTTTTGTTGATAACAAAATGTAGAATTTTCCCCACGGAACCACTTTTAAAATAATTGAAACTGTCCAAAGATTTGTAGTTTTTCATCCCTTGGCTATCACACGCCTTACTCAAAATTAAATAATTGTAAATATCGCCATACTCAACTTGGGGCCACTCCCGCATATCGTCCTTCCATTCTTGCGGTTTGACATCTTTTGGCGAGGAAATAATTCGATCTTTACAATTTTCACATTGATATTGATTCATATTTAAGGCAAACGAAAGAATTTACAAGATTTTCATATATTAAATGTTGTTTGTGCGCTAATATTTACGGTTGAACAGTACGTAGTTTCACCGACACCGGTGTGTTGTTGCTACGGAGTTTGTTTATAAATGCAGCGTCACGGATGCAATGGCGGCTGCTTTCTGCGACCCCTACCGGGATGAAATTTTACTAAGGGAAATAACTGAAAAAAGTTGTGTATACATGTGTGGACATTAATTCAAGTTCGTAATAAATTAATATTTGAGAACAAAAGTTTCAGGAATTGTTTAGTACATACGAGGGCTGTTCAAAAACTACGCAGATTTGTTGCAAAGAAAAAATATTTGACGACATAATCGGGCAAAATGTCACAAATAATAAAAAAAAATCTTTACTTATATGGTCTTCAAAATTTCAGATCAAATGTGATAAATTAATATCAATGTTTTGTGATTTATCAGGATATATCATTAAGTCACGGAGCAGCAAAATCTTCGACGTCACGGACATTATAAAAAAAATATGAGCTTACATTTTCTCAACTTTTTCTTATGAGTTAATTTCTGTACATTTTGAGTTACCGTATTTACTCAAAATCTACACAACCGTATTTGTCAAGCTTAAAATCTATAAAACAAGTAGAGCAATTTCTTTTTTTGTTTTTAAATCAAACGCTGCAGGTACTTATGAGACAAAGTGTGA